GAGAAACTTGGTTTCTCTTTTGAAGAAATAATAAGTGACCATTGTACGACCTCACCCACTTTCTGTTTTGCTTACAGGCATGTCAGTAAATTAGCTAGTTTGTTTCAACTCGCATTTTTTTCCTTTTGATCGAATTTTCACCTTTCAAACGCTAAAAACATTTGAATAATTCATTTTTTTTTAAATCTAATCAATGAACGCATTGCACACCTTAATTTATAACATAGTCATCGATGCGTTTGAAATAGAGAAAGTTTCAAATTGTGTATCCATTTCATTATCATTAAGTAAACAAATAAGCAAAAGCAAAGCCAATTAAATTAAACTATATAATTTACCTTCACTTTCTACAGGAATTTCGGTTATTTGACTTGACATTTTCTATGCAAGGAAACAGTATTAGGACCGCAAATAGAACACCAATCAAGCTTATATTAGTTACAGCACAAAGTATCTAGCTATTTATCCATTTAGCTACAAGTTTTCTTGAACAATTTAAAAGTTAAAGGTCAAAGTATTTTAAAAAGGCCAAGGAGTTCGTCTATAGAAATTCTGTATTAAGCAGAAAGGGACTTTACATAAGTGACGTATTTAAATTAATTTCATTTTAATTGGTTTTAACATTCTGTGTCCAGCAATTTAACACTTGCTAAGTATTTGGAATATATATTTAAGTAGATACATTTATAGTCTCTTAAATATTTGTTAAATACTGATAACTAAAAGTATTGTAGTTAAGAGTTTCAAGGAAGGAATTTTATTTGATTTATATTGAATAGGTTTTCAACTACAGTAGATAAATTCCATTCCAGTACATTTAGATAATTCGATAAGGAAATATAATATGATAATCATAGAGATTTAATTCAAATAGGAACATCATCAATTATAATATTATGAAGTTAAACAGGAATAGTTTTACATCTTTTTGCATTAACATATGCAGAAAGAAGAAGAATAAATATCCTGAAGTTAATTCCCTTTTTATTGATCTTTTCTGTTAATGGCATATTCCTAATTTAATCCATTCGAAAATTGATGTCTCCGCCAATTTTATTACGAATCTTAGTTTTAAAAGTAATTACTAGGAAGAATGTCACCATGGTGTAAATTCTTCCATTTGAACCATAAAACATTTCACGTAAAAATATGCCTTTTTGAACGGTGGATAGGGTCGTGAAAACGGAAAATTTAGAGTAAGTCTTTTCCATGATTAATCAACTTGAGAGGAGGCAACAGCTGCTAAGTAAATGCAAATGTAATCTATAGTTTATTGTGGTAATCCTGTAAAGCAAACAGGGTTGCTTCAGTTGAAAATTTTAAACTCCGTAAAGTCGTAGGTGGTGTGCGTCTCGCTATGTAGGTATTATATCATCATTGATCTGCTTTAAAAGTAAGATGATACATGTTTACCCTTCTGCTTACGTATATTTCCGATGGGAATCGATCAAACTGTCTTTCATACAAAACACCTACTTCTTCGGCAAACTTAAGACGATCGGAATTAAATGACAAGCATTAATCACGTAGTGAAAGGATATCGACTTTATAAAAGGAATACTTAATAACAAACGGTGTGAAAAGTACAGCGTTTGGTAGGTGAATCGACAACTTAAACCATAATAATGGAAGATGACATCTGCAATAATTTTACTGAAATTCCATAAATATACTTTTATTATACGTTTATTAGTCGTAAATATTGGAAGAAAGGGTAACGACATGATTAAATTTTTAACAATAGAGAATGGACATGAATCGTAAAACCAAAAATGTGTTACTATGTCGACTATTGTTCAGCCTTCTCGTTAAACAAAAGGTAGCTAATGTGACAACAATACCAATACGTTTGATTGTTTTTTAAAGCTTTTTTTGTACTGCCTTTTGTTTTCCAATGGAACGTGCCCGACCAATGCGAAGAAAGCTTTTTGTGCTTATGCTTTTCCTTCGCCAAAACGTATTCTACTAACTGTGGTCAGTTGGCTGTAATTGCTCACACATTGTGTTCATGATAATCTGATGGCTGCGGTAGTAATTATCTCTTAACTTTCTACTAATAAGAAAACAAGAGTGATTGGGTCCATTTTTGTTAGACGATCTTTTCTTGCGTAAATTGAAACGTACTGCATACAAAGTATCTACTTAAAGCATAAATATTAGAAAGTTTCTGTTATAATTGTGTATGTAGCATAACTTTTTCTAATATTAACAGTTTCTGTATTTTGTAGAAAATACTTTAGTTATTACAGAGTGAATACGACCGGTAAAAAAAGTACTTTACAGAGCTAAAATCATATCAACAAAAAGAAAAAAGTTGTACATAGTTATCATTTCGAAAAAATAATCTATTAACTGGTAAAACGTCTATGTTATTAAGGTCGAAAACGAAAAATGTGAATTCAGAGAGAAATTCTTTCAGAAAATATTTGCATGTATAAGCAGATAGCTTACGTGTGCCTGCAAAAACAGTGAATGAATGTTAATTAATGTTGATGAAATATGCTTGGAATGGAAATCACAACAAACAGAACGAAAGAATTTAATATAAAAACAGAAATACATTATTTGGTCTGCACATTAAAACCAATGTTAAATACTTCATGTAATTTTAAAAAGTTTAACTTTTATTTGTTAATGAATATGTATCAAAGAACTTTAGTTATTACTTTGTGGAACGATATCATTAGAATAAAAAGAATAGATCACGGTCACTAACGGTTAAACAGAATGGAAATAAAACGGGTTCTTGGTGACGCATTCGAATCTTAGTCTTTCTTTTCGGGACCAGTCAACCATCTACTGTTGTTGTAAAAAAGCTCTTTTTTGTAAATGATTAATCAGTTTGATAAACAAATGAAGTTCAGCTTGTCTTTTACTAAAGCACTCCTTTGAGAACTACTCCTAAAATACGAACTGTGTTAAAATCGTTATGTAATATAAATATTGACCCCCTACCTCACCTAAAAGGACTATAACACCTTCCCCCAAATTTGCGCTACGCAATTTGTAGACGGTTCCTGAGAAGAAAGATTGAAAAAAGCTGCAGCAGGTCTCGTCTGGTTTGTTGTCGATAACAGAAAATCGATTGAGCTTTTCTTTATTATTTTTTATTACGGGTTAGGGTTGACGCATTGTAATCAACTCCGCCCGCAGTGTTTAAAAGAAAACTGGCTTTCCAAGGTTAACCACTAGAATTTGTACATTTTCCTTAGGATTTAACGACTTTCGGGACAACAACAACGATAAAATACTTTATCGCACCTCACCATCTTCCTGTAACATAATCCATAATGAAACTAAATAATATCTCAGGTAATTTTGCAAGAAAGTAACTTTTAATAAATTTTATGGAAAAAGATATTTCTGAAAAGATTGATAACTTGATCCTGACTGAGCAATAGTGTGTATTGCAATGTATTGATTACACGAAGTTGTACACAAATTAAAATAGAACTTCAAGTACCTACTATAAAGTTTATGTAACAAAAACAAAAAAAGCTGTAACAGATTAGAAAGTAAACTGAATTAGCCCTTGACAAACTTTTTAACGTTAATGATTGTGGTGAAAACTCGATGGTCCGTGAAAATTTTATTTTTAGTCCTAGATACAACAGAGGCCACAAATTTTCCCTATGTAAAATATGCAGTGAAATATGTAGATTTCTACATAATTCCATTAATCCAAAAGCTGGTAGCAGGTGGCCCATATATGTATGTAAATTGCTTTGGGTGCTTTGCAAACGTCTAAATTATAACGGAATTACAAAACTCGTCTAACACATAAATAAAACATAGAAAATGCTGCAAATAAACATTAATTTTCCTTGGTGCCTTTACACAGCTAATTGGGAAAATATATGTTTCAATAACTTTTAGCTAACCCTTTTCATAAATAGGTAGAAACAGATAAAAATTAATGTTTAGTAAAAAAAATATTGTTTTTCTTTAACTGCAGCCTCTATTTTCTACTTTCCTTTTAATAATATCGGTTTTAACTTTTTGATTATTGTCGTACCCATGATAAAGTAATTGTATGAAATCTCTATGAAACTATGAAACTTAGCGAATGGAATATATGAAGTACTTGAATTTTCTTCCTTAATATATAACAGGCGGACTGAAAAGTTCGTAGGCTAGCATAGAAAAAATTATTTTATTTGATAGAATTTGATTTTATTATTCAATATAATTCCCTTCGAGGGCGGTACTACGTTTATCTTTAGTCTTTAGCCTCAAAATAGGTTTCAGTTTCGACGATTACCTCTTCATCGGCGCGAAATTTCTGTCCAGCGAGCATCCTTTTGAGGTCTGAGAACAGAAATAAGTCGCTGGGGGCCAAATCTGGAGAGTACGGTGGATGCGGAAGCAATTCGAAGCCCAATTCATGGAATTTTGCCATCAATTTCATTGCTTTGTGACACGGTGCATTGTCTTGATGAAACAGCATTTTCTTTTTCAAACAACAAAAGTTCTTTCACTAAAAATGCTATAACTCAGATACTAATAGTGCAACAGCTGTCAAATTTATACACGTAGTCTTTTGAAGGTTAGGGCTAACTAAAAATCATATGGATTTGATACTAGAAGAGCCATATAAGGGTCAGTCTACGAACTTTTCAGCCCGCCCTTGTAAGATTAATGAGGCCTTAGAAATGGATACATATTTGCACATATGTTGGCATGCCTGCTTTAATTACGGCCGAACGTAATGTGTCCGGATGCAATAGTTCTTTTATTAGCACGAGCATAATAAAGTTCTGTGAAAATTGCAAGGTTTTATTTCAACTACGTGATTACTGCCTTTCCCACGGTATTACTCCGCTATTACATTATTTGTATTGTACAATTCGAATAGTTTCATAACGTTGTAAACGGGTACAGAACAATTTTCCTTCTTTATACAGCACGTGCCCATATTGGAGCATCCTTGACGATGTTTAAAAGAAGGACAAATTGTTTTGAATTAAAATTCTTTCTTTTAAGTTGTGTTTTGTTTTCAGGAAGTGATGGATGTTCAAACGGCGCTAGTGTTTGCGCTTCAACTGGTCGCCCTTTTTTCGATAGCGGGCGCCTTGCTGCTGTATCTCCTGTGTAAGATACGTGGGAATTCAAAACCCGACGAGAATGGAACTTCTCCCGGAGGTGGAAAACCAGTCCTCATCACCTGTTGCGATAACGTTGTCGGTTTGCAAGTAAGCTGTCAATATTTTTCAAGCTAATCCAACGGCAAAAAGACACAAAGCTCAAACACAAGACGAGCAAGAACTGGTTATTATACAATAGTTGTTCGTATAAGTGCTGTAGGTATTATTGAAAGCTTGCGACATACGGCACCGTCTTTTATATATATCTCATACTACAACAGATTGCAATGTTAGTTGTGACTTACGGTTGCCACCCGTACTTTATTATAAAGTATTGTACTCTATTTCGACTGTGCGTACGTTATACTTTACAAGACACATAAAGTACCCAAAAAAGCCATATTTACGGAACAACCTGATTTCCCAAATCTGTTCAGAGTAGTGTCACTTTCGTTCCGGCCACTTCAGCATTTACCGAAAGAGTATTCTCTGTTATGAACGCAAAGTGGCGGGACGACAGGAATAAAGCTTCATTANGTAATCTAATCTAGATCTACCTCTACCCCTCCTAACTCCTGTTTCTGCCTCTAATATGTCTCTGACTAGACCTTCATGCCTGAGAAGGTGTTCTACCAACCTATCTCGCCTATTTTTTATTGACTTCCATAGAGTCCTCTGTTCTTCTATTCTTTCCAATACCTTTTCATTTCTAACCTTTTTTACCCACGTTATCCTCATCATCCGCCTATTATCCACATTTCGAACGTATTGTATAAAAAAAACAAAATTTCTATGAAAAACTGTTTCAAAATTCAAAATATTAAAAAAGTCACGTTGTTCTAGAGACATCAACCATGGCTTATTATTTGTGGAGAGGATCAACAGTGGCTAAATTAGAGTCATGGTTTCTTACAGATGAATATTCTGTGACTGCAAGCTAACCTGCGAACAAAATGTGGTACTAATGAAATCACATTATAATTCTTGTCAGACGGCCAAAAGCTCATTAAATTCTCTAAAGTTCGGCGGTTTTTGCAAAGGTCGCGAGCGCTCTCCACTCTCTCTTAATATTACAAAGAGTGCAGCTACGTGCTAAATATTCCTAACGAAGCTGCTCGAATGAAATTTAATAGACCGCGTTAATCGAATAGCTAATTCGATCTACGTTCATATTTTAATTTTTTTCGACGACTAACACGCAGCAAATCGCATGACAATGTGGAGGTTTTCAATTACATTTGAACTGATAAATAAACGGTAACAAAATGAGGTAATGTGAGTATACATCTGTCTACAGTTACCAGCTGTATAGATATCAATAATTTGTAGACTGAATTTCAGTAATGCTATACTCACTAAGAAGTCCTTGACTACCACCTGTTGGACATTCCAGTAATCATAGTAATAGTTACTACTATGCTGAAATAGCTTGGTCATTGAATAATTAATTTCACACATGCCTATCTCGAAGTCTCACCAGCAATTATTACACTCACAATCGAATAAGCCGAACGTATTCTTCATTGCATAATCTTCTCGCTCGACTCGGTATCTACATCTTAATTGTTCAGATAAAAGTGGAAAGGTACCGTTGAACAATTAAGCCGCTAAACACGTTATTCTGAATGTCTGTTTGATAACAATTAGTTCTCGCCGTCTGGCAAAGTCTATTACACTTCTTAAGACGATGATCATCGCAGTAATTAAGTAACAGGATCTATAGAAAACAAAACCATCTGCTTATATTTAAATTTCACGATTCGAAGCAACGTGTTACGCTTGAAAAAGGTTTTACAGAGTTTGTATTTTCCCCAAAGGTCGTGATTTGGTAAAGGTCTAGATGATGGTCCCCTTCGGGGGTGGGGGTGGGGGGATAAAAAAAGGAGGTCTCCCCCACCACTGTACCATAAAATGTTCGTGGCGGTCTCACCCCCTTCGGGGGTGGCGGCCATCATCTAGACATTTACTCGTGATTTTCTTGCTAAAGCTTCAAGATAAATATTAGTTTTAGATTCTCCACGCTTTTTTTGAAATAAGATATTAATTATTTGAGAGTAGAAATATAATTATAAGGTCCGTATTTAGGCAGACCATCACTTCAGTCCTGATCCTTTTCAGTTTTGTAAAATAATTTATTATTAATGAATATTTATTATGTTTGTTACATTGTTGACGTTTGGTAGAAGTCAATTGTATTTACTTTAAAATTAAATTGTGTAGACGTGGTTTTGTAGACATTCTTCTTTTGTCTATATGATATATGATTAGAATTTTTCCGAAGGTCACTTCAGTGCATTGATAACATTTGGTATAAGTATGTGTAATTTTCCTTTCAACAATTCATCCACGTGTGTATTCAATTCGAAAATAGGTGTCGACTAAAATAGATATCAACAAATTTCACATTAACAAATTTAGTTGTCAATGTCAAGTATCTGTGTTACTGGAAATGATATTGCATTTCCTAATGAAAATGTGACCCCGTTTTTTGAATGGCTTCCATCACAAAAGGCGCAGCAAGGGTAGGTGGGTTACAAATGAAGCGATATATTGAAAATGTGTCAAGAACCAAGCCTATTAGCTCCAGCCTTCATATTTGGAGGTGCCAAATTAGATTACAATGGACAAACAATGACTAGTTCTTTACAAATTATAATACAATTTTGTTTTATTTATTTAATAAATACAAATACCATTTATCAGGCACTTGTATAAATCTACACATTAATTGAAAATTAATAATTTATTAATAATGTATAAAACAGGAAGCCATGTTTTGGCTTTTTTTTTAATCTACAATTATCAATATTTTCGAGTGAAATTTTAGGAATTAGGAAAAGTTCGTGGCGGTCTCA